CGACCTGTTGCGGGTTGGGGGGGGGGGGGGGGGGAAGGCTAGGGCAGGGGTGGGCAATAATGTTTGATGGGGGGACACACCAAAATTTTGGAAAGTGGACAACAGCTGCACTTTTTTGAGGAGGGAAAGCACGTTCTAGAAGGGAGCATGGGTTTAGGGACTGGGGTTCAGGAGATGGTGTGAGGTCTGAGAGGAGTTTGGGTGAAGGAGGGGGTTGTGACCTGGGGCAGGGGATTAGGGTGTAGGGTCAGGAAGGGAGTATAGGTGCAGAAGAGGATTCCAGCCTGGGGGTGAAGCTTTAGAAGGGGGTGTAAAGTCTGGGAGGGAATTGTGACCTGGGAGAAGGGGAAAGGGAGGTGCAGACTGCAGAGGGTTTGGGTGGTGATCTGGGTCAGGGGGATGGATTGCAGGATCTGAGAGGGGCTTTGGACACTGGGGAGGATTCTGGCCTGGTGGAGGCATGTTGGAGCAGGTACAGGATCTGGGAGGGAGTTGTGACCTGGGGCAGGGAGGTACAGAGGGTTTGGATGGTGACTTGGGGGAGGGAATTGGATGTGGGAGGAGTTGGGGTGCCACAGGAAGGCTCTAGCTGGGATGCACTTACCTTAGCAGCTCCCGGCCAGCAGCCCTGCAGCACCCACACAGCAGACTGGGCTCCTTGCCTGCTGCAGACCAGATCACTTCAAACAACAGGCTGTTCCCTTGATGTGGCTCTCCGCCCTGGGAGGGGAATATGTTTTCACTGCCCCTATTCCCCAGGCCAATCTCTCAGCTCCTATTAGCTGGTTGTTTCCTAGATCACAGAGCCCAGCATGGCAGGAGCGGAGGGGGGCAAAGGGGAGCGGCGACTCAGCCGGAGCCCCATGGGGGTGGGGACATGGAAGGGCAGATGGTGCAGCAGGGAGTTCTGGTGCCTGCGGCCAACTGGTAAATGGTGGTCTGGAAACAGCAGCTGTGGAGCTCCAGCCCTGGCTAAATATGTGGCAAGCTATCCTTGGAGGGACAATGGACGTGATACATCTGGACTGTCCAGGAGAGGGCCTGATTGGGCAGTTCAGAGAACACATTTGGGGAAAAGGTTTGGGGGGGGGGTGCTGTAGTCACGCTGCAAGTGGTAACCGAGGCTGTAGTCAATCCAGAATGTGACTGAACAGTGAGTGGTAGGTTGCAGTCCCATGTAAACCCTCAGGCTTTGTCTACACTAAATGGAAGATCGTCGCTGGCACAATCAACCTTCTGGAGTTTGAGTTAGTGAATTCAGAGGGCATCCCCGCCAGCACCCAGCACTCCTGCTTTTGTGAGGATGCCTCCAAGCTTGGCTTAAGTGAAGCCGACTCCAGCTACATATTCTTCGTTGTCACAGTTATGTACCTTAAGCTGAGCTGCCGAATCTAGCATAGAACTGGCCTTGGGGTGTGCCTTTTCTGCTGGCAGGCTGCTTGTGAGTGCCCCAGGTTGGAGCTACAGCAGCAAAGCACCAAAGGCAGAAGGCAGGGGTGATACAAACCCATCTGTTCTGCTTTGTGCCTTAGACTGTCGCCAGGGATAGCGTTAAAATGAGCCACTTTGCTGTGGGAACTCAATTCACGTTTGTTGTCACTTTCTTTTCCTGTCGAGAGTCTGATCCCGCTAACACCCCTGGTGTTAAATGGCACAGTAGGCAGCCTGGACTCTGGGGGTGTGTCTAGACTACAGGGTTTTGTCGACAAAAGTGGACTTTTGTCGACAAAACTATACCTGCGTCCACACTGCCTTTGAGTTGTCGACGTATGTAAACCTCATTCTACGAGGAATAACGCCTTTTGTTGACAGAGTTCTGTCGATAGAAGGCATTATTGCATCTACACTGTCCTTTGTGTCCACACTGTTATGTCGACAAAGCGGCTTGCTTTGTCGACAGAACTGGATGTAGTCTAGATGCTCTTTGTCGACAGAAGCTTTGTCGACAGTATCTGTCGACAAAACTTCTGTCGACAAAACCCTGTAGTCTAGACATACCCTGGGAGACAATGAGCTGATTACACAGCCTCTAATAGAGATATCACAGGCGGTGATGGGCTTTGCTTCTTGATGGGGATGCACACGACCAGCAGAATGATTCACTCCTTTAGTAGAAGAGATAGCACGTTCACATCCATCACCGCGAAAGTGGTACATGTTGGGAGGAATAAATTAAATAACTTCCACACTGGGTTTTCTATTAACAGGCGCCACTCAGGAGACATTATGATCCATCAGGACATTTCCAAGTAATGAAATCTTTGTATATTTCTGAATCCAGCCCAGTCATGACTAGAGAAGATTCATTGGGGGAAACAGACAAATATAGAGACAAGGCAGGTAGTTAAGTAGCAGGCCATAACCGCAGCAATTGAAATAGTTTCAGTTTTCACTTCTCCTAGGCATCATTTTTCCTTGCAAAAGAACTTGGTGATAAGCAACATGAATCCGTGTGCATGGGTCAAAGTCTGTACCCAGGGATTCATTATGTGGACTAAAGCACAATGTGCAATGCAGCTTCCTTAACAAACTCCCAGTGGCATTCTCCCAACACCCCCCAACTTTTCTTCCTCACAGACTGAGACTCATTTTTGTTTCACTTTTGAACATATGAGTTTGGAGAGAAGCAGAGCAGTGCAGGCCATCTCTGATTAACTCCCCTCTCTGCAAACGGGGTCTGTGCATTGTGATGGGATCCGGCGCGTGGCCACAGTTTCAGCCCTGCTGTGACTAGCCTCCAAAGAACCAACCAGGCACCCAGGACGAGCAGCTGAGACTCCCACAGGACTTTCAGAGAAGGATCTGCCCCATGTGGGTGAAACCACGGTAAGAAAGCCCCTTGAATTTTCTTTTGGTGCTTCAAAACCTACCTCCAGTTCATCCTATGCATTGCCTGTGCCTGGGAAGGGGACAGGGTAGAGGTGAAGGTGGGAGATGGGAAATTTGTTGTACTATCAACATTTTATTCTAAGTTAACCTTAACTCTTTCCTTCCCTAGAGCTTGTGATCCTGGGACCCCTGGATGCCAGCTGACAGAGAGCACAAGGGGTGCAAAACAGTTACTGGGACCACATAGAAAAGCAATTCCCTAAGGATGAGGACTCCAAACACATGTCACCTGTCCTCAGACTCAGACAAGGAACAACCAAACAAAGGGTGAACTCAAGCAGCACTGAAGCCATTTTATTAGCATAGATTCTTAAGGGTACAGACATAGTGCTGGGCTAGATGAACTTTGGTCTGGCTTAGAATGACCGTTCCAGTATTCTTACACAACTGCCCAGATTATAGTTCTTTGTCTATATTTGGAAGCAGTTTCAATGGAAAACTTTTACAGTAATAGTCAAATCATTTAAATGACATTGTTTATTTCTGCCTGATACCCGCATCAGTTCTTTAAAACCCTATCTCCACATTCCACGAGGAGTAACGGTAGTTCGAATTAGAAAGCCTGTGTAGCCGCAGGCACGGAGTCCGAACTACCGGGACTTTAAAAATGGCGGTGCCTGGCAAGATGCAAATGAAGCCTGAGATATTTAAATCCCGGGCTTCATTTGCAACTTCGGTTGCCTACATTAACCACCCTAGTTCGAACTAGGGTGGTAGTTTAGACATACCCTGAGTGGCTGAAAGAGGGCCTGTACAGTGGTAAAGCATCCTGCTCCTTGCAGATGACAGGTGAGGCGTGCACAAGACAGAGCCCATGGAAGGTAATTCTGATCTGTGAGGGGAGTCAGTCTGGCAAAAGGAAGGGGTAGAGGTGGAAGCAGCTGTTAGACAAGCCCATCACTAATTTCTTATCTCATCTCTCTTCCTGTGCGAATAATCTCCCTGGGGCCTGCCTGCAGGAAGCGGTTTCTCACACCACTTGGATGGCTGAGCACTTTGCTCAGAGGTCTGAGGAGGCAGCATGGTGAAGACAGTGACAGATCACCTGATAGACGCTCTGGAAAACGTGAATGACACGGATTTGAAAAAGTTCAAGATCAAACTGAATGAAATCCCAGTGGAGGGGCACAGCAACATTCCACGGAGCCGGCTGCAGAGTGCAGATCCCACAGACTACCATGGGATGGATGATGCAGTCAAGGTGGCTGTGGAGGTGCCGAAGGCCATCCACCAGAGACACCTGGCAGAGAAACTCAGCAAGGCAACGGGAGCTGGTAATGAACACACTAAGGAAAGGAGATCGGGCCCTATCTACAGTGGGTCCTATGGTATCTCCTTCTCTGTAACCTTACTGTTCAGCATCTGTGTTATTTCTGAACTAGGATCATAGCTTCAAAGGGGCTTTTCCACCTAAACAGAACCATTCAAATGCCCAAGTTTGATGCAAGGTTCCAGGATGGTGCAGCTAACCACAAATCTTAGCTTCAGCTTCTCTGCTTTTAATTTTTCTCTTCTTTTAGCTCATCGAAAATAATAGTTTCCGTCTCTCCTGCTGGCTGAGTTGCTGCATTGCATCATAGAGACCCCAGGACTATGTCACATTATAGGAGCTACTGTCCAGCCAGGGAGCCCTGCACAGCGGAGAATTTGGGGGGCAGAAGGCACTTAAACAGCAGCTCCCATGTCTGTTTTTTCCCCATTTTCCCCAGTAAAATTTGGCTTTTTTGGAAACCATTTTTCCTGTCAAATATTTTACAGCTGTACATTGTGGATTTCATTGCGTATTTTTTAAAGAACCATAGTAAGTGTTGACCTGAATGTCTGGGGTAGGGGTTATGACCCACTGCTGGCTGCATTTAGGTTCTTATCCCACTTCAGGCTCCAGCGTGAGCGAGAACTCAAAGAGCTCTATCTCCACAAAGGATTCTTGTGTCACATAGCAAAGGCTCTCGAACTGAGGACAATACCAGTTTGTTAAAACTAGGGCTGTCGACTAGCATGTGTTAATGCTTGTGATTAACGCAGTCCAGGATTAACGCGTTAATTTTTTTAATGCGTTGATTGCAGGCGTTAATGCTGTGCTGCCCCTTTGAAGTGCCGAGGCATAAAGGATCTGCCGACAAAGGGTTCTGGTGTTAGCAGATCCCTGTCTAGACTGCCACGCTGTGCCAAGAAACAGCTGATCAGCACAGCGTGGCGGCCATTTTGATGTAAATGAAGCAGTTTAGTGGCTTTATTAGACCCACTAAACTGAATGCCAGAAGATCGACTTTTGCAGTGTCAATCTTCTGTGATGCTCTGGTAAGTGGGCCTTAGAAGAGTTCAGAATCCAGAATATTGTTGAGTCCATGGCATTCTTTACTCAAAGGGTGTGTCTAGACTACATGGCTCCGTCAATGGAGCCATGTAAATTAGTTTATTCGGCATAGTCAAAGAAGCAGGGATTTAAATAATCTGCGCTTCATTAAAATAAACATGGCCACCATTCTGTGCTGACGATCAGCTGATCCGGCACATAAAGAGAAGACTGAGAGGGGACATGATACTGACTTTCAAGTATCTAAAAGGGAGAAAATTTGTTCCATCTCAGCTGCAGAGGAAATGTGGGCTTTCTGAACTGTCACAGACAGACAACAGACACGCTTATGCTATGGCAGCAAAAACTTCTGGGACCTGCTTCTCCTTTCACTGTCTGGATGGAAAAAGGACTCTGGTGGTGGCAGTGGCTGTTTCTCAGTAGCATTACAGTTAAGCCATTTCACAAATAAGATAAGTGAGACTTCAGATAGAGTGTCTCCAATTCAGCGATGGCCAACAACCAGCCCACAGTTCACCAAAGTTAACCCCTGGCAGAGTGCTGGTGCTTCATTAACCTGCACCACCATGGATACAACCAACTGAAACTTCCATTTGCTGCAAATCATCAATCCCAGGCAATGGGAGCTATTGGAAGCACTGTCCCAGTCCACACCACTTCCCAGAGCTCCCATTGACCAGGAACAGTGATCCACAGTGAATGGGAGACTGCGGCTTATTTTTTCTCTTTTCTTTTTTCAAGCTTTTCTGGGGCAAAAGAGTTTAGGGTAAATCTGGAGGTGATTTCAAGTGTTCACCTCCATTCTAGGGATAAAAAGCACTTGATAGTGGCAGCAAATTCCTTAAAATTTATGTATTGTGATTCTGGGGGCAAGTTTTTGATAACCAGTGTCTGTAGAGGCAAAGGGTTTTTTTTTTTCTTTTGAGCTTTTTGCAGGACCCCATCTTCTGCACTCTGAGGGTGTATCTAGACTACACAGTTCTGTCGACGGAGCCATGTAGATGAGTTTACTAGACATAGCAAAATGAAGTGGCGATTTAAATAATTGCACTTCATTTACATCAAAATGGCTGCCGCACTGTGCCGACAATGAGCTGATCTGGCACAGCGTGGCAGTTTAGACATGGATCGGTCGACAAGGGAAGCCTTTGTCACCGGCTGCTGTAAACCTAGTTTCATGAGTCATAAGGGGGCGATTGACAAAGGCTTCCATTGTCGACCAATTCACGTCTAGACTGCCGCGCTGTGCCGGATCAGCTGATTGTCGGCACAGCGCAGTGGCCATTTTTATTTTAATGAAGCGGGGATTATTTAAATCCCTGCTTCATTGACTATGTTGGGTAAACTAGTTTACACTACATGGCTCCGTTGACGGAGCCATGTAGTCTAGACACACCCTCAGTGCCAGAATGGGAAATAGCCCTGACAGATGGTCTTTCCCACAAAGACTTTACAATTTGAGAAGATCTGATTACCCCATTTTACAGAGGAGACACCAAATCACAAAAAGTGCACGTGACTTGCTGAAGATCACACAGAAAGCCAGGAATTAAACCCAGATTTTCTGAGTCCCAGTCCAGACACTTCAACACAAGACCAGCTGTCCTCTATTGCTCATGGTCCAATACAAAATCATAACTGCAATCCAAGAGCCGCTAACATAGAAGAATATTATACATACATGGACTGTAAAAACACCATGCAGTTCTGTGGCACCTTAAAGACTAACAAATATATTAGACCATGATAAAATCCACTTCATCAGATAAGTTGAAGTGGAAATTACAGAATCCAGAGTATATATAACAGCAAAAGTAGTTACCTGTCAATTGTAGGACCACTGTTAATGACGCTAATTAAGTCAGACTGGATGTATCCCATTTATAGCTTTCAATGTGTAAATGCAAAAATTAAAGGCATGGAAAATTGCCTTTGTACAGACCATCCTCTCTATAGGTCCAAAACACGTTCCAAAAAACTTGGACTTTAACAACTTAAAGCAGTGAATTTTTTCCTGCAACTGACTGCCATTTGGGGTGGGGGAGTTGCACAACTTAAGAGCAGGGAATGGGAGGACTTATTATACATTCCTACAGGTATCAACAGCTTTAGTGCAGAATTGGATGTATACCAGGGTGACATAGTCCTATAGTGCGCTAATCAATTAATATCTTTATTTAAGACCAAGTTCATCATGTCAAATTTGTAAATGAATTCCAGTTAAGCAGTCTCCCACTGAGACTTAGTCACACAGTCCATGCATTGTCAGATATGTGAATTTCTTCATACAAGAGACAATAGAGTTATAGTTAAAGTTTTGAATTAGAGTGTGAGTTTGGTAGAATGTAGGTTGAATATTGCTTTTTAGTATATTTTGGAGATAGAGTGTTTTGGTGTGTTGGAACAGTATTGCAGGTTATGTGAGAATGGAAAGAATACTGAAGACTTTCCTTTTTCAGGATTGAAAGATTTTTGTGTCTTGCAACAGAATTAACTGGGGTTTTTTTGTATTGTATTTGTAAAGTTTTTGTTTGTATTCATGTATACAAGAAAACAAATGGCTATATAGTTAAATAGTAAGGCAGGTGAATGAAGTCAATTATTCATTAAATATCAATAATGTATGCTTCTGGTTTTCTCATGTTATTTGAACCCAAAGCAAAAACTTCCTGTCTACCACTAACCTGGATTACTGGTATTATTATAGGAATGCTGAATTATCCCCTACAATATATTCTGCAGAGAAGGCTGGTAATTTTGTGGTGTATGCTGAGCCTCTTAGGGAATGCTGCCTCTATCTGGGCCACTTTTAGTAGCAAAGTTCTCAGTATCATTTGTGAGGAATATTGATTTTTAGGATCTCTGAAATTCTTCCTTTGTGCAATTGACTGGAACACAAACCAAATGTTCAGTTGGCTGCTTTCTGAGCACTTTAGTTTCAGTTTCATTTACTGCTCTTTTCCTCTCTCCACATAGGAAAATAAGAACAGAAAGCTAATCGCAGCAGACACATCACCACTCTCTTGATTCTAATGGGGAATGGAAGGTAGGAACGATTCTTTATTCTAAGGGATTAATTCTAATCAAAATCAGTTGGCTAAATCCTGAAATTCTCTCTCATATTTGATCTGATTGATTTAATTAAGAGATTCTAATGCTAGAAGGGAACACTGTGATCATATGGTCTGACTTGTAGGGCACAAGACAGGGATAGGCAAATTTACATAAGACAATCTTCAGAAGTTCAAGAGCTGGGGCTCAGCACTTCAGCCAAGCCCGTATGCTTGCTGGAAGTTAAGGCTTCAGCCCCACTCCCACTGAATCTGTAATCCCTAGCAGGCATCTCCTGTGTGGCTGAAACTCTGAGACCCCCTCTTCACTGGTCAGGAACCCCTAGCCTTGCTACCCTGCACTTACAAGCACCAAGCTCTGCCAAACAGTCTAGTAGGCCTAAAATGAGGGGCAGGAGGTAAAGGTGAGCTTTGAGAGCTGCCCTTTAACAGTAACAAAGCCACATGTGGTTCACAAACCAGTTTGGCCACTGCCAGCCATGTAACTTCCCTGATATAGTTCCCATTTGAATTAGTTTGTATCTTTTAGAAAAGCATCTATTCCTCATTTTAAAAAAAATCAGGAGCTCCCCTAAAGAAGGATGGAGTACAATATGAGAAAGGAGCTCAGAATTTCTTGTAAAAAATCTATAACCCAGTGTGGTAAGATTTTAATCTACAAACAGAACCTTTTGCGATATTCACTGATGCAACTGCTGTTTTTACAGCAAGAGAGCTGGGGGCTAGAATTCTCTCCTCCCTCAGCACATGGCTTCATGGGAGAGCTGCAGTTTTAGCCCCAGAAGGTGGGATGGAGGCAGAAGTGCCCTTGGCTAAAGCCTTGGACCAAATCTAGAGGCTCACAAAATAGAGTGAGACCAAACTGGAGATGGCAGGAGGTTAAGTCCAGGAGTTTGTTGTTTTCCGTGGATTTGTAACTGTTTTGTGCATTTTATGAGTCAAATGTGTACGTTTAAGAAATTCCTTTGCTGAGTGGAGTAGGGTTAGCTCCTGCTAGTCACAGGGGGAATTAGCTTGTCAGGGCACCTCTCTAGGCCAGTATCTTACCACTCACTGCTCCTTGGCCTAATGTCTTTACCATCTGGTGATGGACCCATGTCACACTTTGGACTGCAGTGTTCCCTTCAGGACACTGTTCTCTGACAGTGCCCCTACTCCGGTCTCTTGCCCCTAGCCCCCCCCCTGCCACTGTGGCCAAGGTCTTGCCCCTTACCTCAGGGGCAACCCACAGTTCATAAAGGCCACTCTTCAGGGTGCCTAGATGCAGAGGGAAGGGGTGTTGACCCAACCCCACCATAACTCTGAGTCTCACCTCAGAGACCCTCTGGTGGCAGCATTTTCCTGCCCTCTTCTGACCATCTCTGCCTTCAACTGCCTCTCGCTCCCTAAGTCACTTCCATGAGATGCTTTTTACTTTATCGCTTGTGCCTCTGTTGAGGGGAATTAAGTCCATTATGGAGAAGTGTTTTCTTTGAATAGTCATGTGTATTTTGATTTGACTGCATCTCTCTCACTTTTCTGTGAATTTTCTAGCACCCATTCCTGTGAAAAGCAAATATTTTAACTCAGATATTCACTAAAACCCAGATTTGAATGATACCTTTTCCCATTCCCACTTTGGTTAGTTATATAAATAACAGCATTATTTCTGTTATTTATAACTAGCTGAAACAGCATGGCTATGTCTACACTCACAGCTTCCCTGTGTGAGTAATATGCAAATGAGGCTAAGCAAGCCTCATTTGCATACCTAATAAGCCACCATTTTTGCAGAAAAGGCTCTTGCACCAGAAGGAGCATCTACACTGCCCCTTCTTGCACAAGAAAAACCCAATTCCCCTGTACCCACCTTGCCTCAGTGACCCACTGCCAGTCTTCATCTAGCCCCTGCCTCAGGGGCAAACTGCAGTGGCCACTCATCACTGGCAAAAGGGTGTGAACCTGCTTCCCCAACTACCATGGCTGCCTCTCTACAGCCCTAGTAGCTTCAGGCCCTGCAGCCTGGGAACTAGCTTGGCCAGAGCTTCCCCAGCTCTGTCTTCCTCCACCTTTAGGAAGCTTCCTGCTTCCCTAGCAGTCAGCTCCCTACTGCTCTCTATCCCTAGCAGCAGGCTATTCTGCCTCTCCCTCCAGGAGTCCTTAATATAACCCCCAGCTGGGCCCTCATTAGCCAGAACTGCCTCAGCTGGGGCTTTGCTCGCAACCCTCAGGCAGGGCTGGGGTTTTGCCCTTAAAGGGCCAGTGCAGGGCAAATGCTCTGTCACATCTGTATAAAAGTTTTACACAGGGAAAGATCATGAGGATGTTTTTCCTCCCTCCCTCAGTTAAAGAGAACTGCACAGTGATTGCTCCCCCAGATAACAATTATTGACACTGGGCCTGACTAAACAAATCCTGTCCTGTTTTTTGTACTTAATAAAAAACTTTTAATTAGTTGCAAGTGAAAACAGCCTGATCAAAGTTCTAATACACTAAGAAACTTGTTACATGCCAATTCTTACCCCTAAACAGCTGTTCTTATTTCAGGCATAAGCTTCAAGTCAGAGCTGTTTTTTAACTGACTTGGCTCTCCAGTCCTTTTTATCCTCCTTAGGGCAGAGAGAGGGGGAACCTTTTTTGGTCTGGGTCACTGGCCCACAGAAAAAACAATCAGGGGCAACACACAAGTGAAAAGCAAAAAAGAAAAAAGCCCAACCCTCACTAGTAGACATTGTAGGCACCTGTAGGTTCTGGGGTGGGCCCAGAACAAGGGGTTCACTGTGCAGGAGGGGGCTGCCAGGGAGCAGACTGGGGTGGGGATATGGGGTCTGGGCGGGAGGTAGGGTGCAGGAATGAGCTGGAGGAGTGGGATCTGTCAGGAGGTATGATGCAGGTGTGGGCTGGGGTGGGGAGTCTGGGTGGGAGACAGGGTGCAGGAGTGGGCTAAGGGTGGGAATATGGGTTCTGAGAGGGAGGCTGCAGGAGTGGACTGGGGGTGAGTGTGTGGGTTCTGGGTGGGAGGTAGGATACAGGCGCTGGCTGGAGGTGAGGGATCAGGATGGGATGGCTGTAGGAGTGAGCTGGGGTACAGGGTCTGCGACAGAGGAGCAGGATGGGGGTGAAAGTGGGAGGTGCAGGAGTGGCACTGCCCCCAGCACTAGTGATTCAGCCAATGGGAGCAATGGGGGGGCAGTGCCTGCAGGGAGTGCTTTCCTGATGCAAGCAGAACCCATGGGTCAGATTGGCCCTGACTTGCTTTGATCTGGCCCATGAGGTTTGGGGCTTCTCCCACCCCACAGTGGGAAGCCAGTGCTGGCACCCCCACCATGGCATGCCTTGCATGGTTGGAGCACCAGCATCAGCTCACGCCACTGTGGGAGTGGAGGGGTCCGTCCCTGAGCCATGCAGGCTGGATCAAGGCAAGCCGCAGACCAGATCTAGCCCATGGGCTGTAAGTTCCCCACCGATGTCTCAAGGTGTTGCAGGTAATTTCCAAAAGCCAGCCGAAGACAAAGGGCTGATAGCTTCCCATTGCCTAACAGACTTTGACCTAAGGTGGGAATCTTTGGTTTGGCATTCCCCTTCCCACAGAAAAACAGCAGGTTCAGAATGGACTCCTGTACCAGGTCCAACCACCATTCAGACGTACAGGACAAACAAGGTCGTTTACAGGTCGTAGATCACCAAGCCATTAGGCTCCCTGGTCTTTCATTAGCGCATTTAAAACTGTAACAGATTCATACTTCATATTTCTAACTTCACCTACAAGAATGATACGTATCCAAAAATAGGATATGGAGATGCAGCAGATCGTAACTATAAAATTGATACGTTATAATGACCTATTTTACATAAAGCATGTTTGAGTAATGCGTATTCATATGCTAATTTTCACAAAGCATGGGCAGTGAGCATCATAGAGGAATGTCTTGAGAGAAGAAATAAAGTAGGACAAGGGCACAATCTAACTATAGGACTGGAAATTCTTGGTGGCAGTGACCCATGGCCAAATTCAGAGGTGATATGTAAGGCATAAGTCGGCTCCTGTTATACACAAGGCTCTCTTAGGCCTACCTGCACGTGCTTCAGAAGACAACATTTGATCAACAGCCTCTTTCGTATGTCTCTAGTTAAGGGACCCATGGCTTCATACATGGGGGCTGTGTCTAGACTGGCAAGTTTTTCTGCAAAATCATCTGCTTTTGTGGAAAAACTTGCCAGCTGTCTACACTGGCCACTTGAATTACCGCAAAAGCACTGGCGATCTCATGTAAGATTGTCAGTGCTTTTGCAGAAATACTATGCTGCTCCCATTCGGGCAAAAGTCTTTTTCCGAAAAACTTTTGCGCAAAAGGGCCAGTGTAGACAGCAGAGATTTGTTTTCTGCAAAAAAGCCCCGATCGCGAAAATGGCGATCGGGGCTTTTTTGCGGAAAAGCGCATCTAGATTGGCCACGGACGCTTTTCCGCAAAAAGTGCTTTTGAGGAAAAGCGTCCTGCCAATCTAGACGCGCTTTTCCGAAAATGCTTTTAAAGGAAAACTTTTCCGTTAAAAGCATTTCCGGAAAATCATGCCAGTCTAGACATAGCCTAAGTGTATACCTAAGAAAACTTCATGCCAAGTGTGTGACATTCAGAACAGTTCACCTACTAGGTAGGTTGTCATTCGTAAATAATCATACATGCAGACACCACATTCATGAGGCAAATTAAACCTGGATCTTTGGAGCCAAAATCATAGCTTTGTGCCATTTACAACATCTTTGCAAATAAAGCTTCAATTTAAAAAAAATACTTTTTCTACCCTTTATGGTTGTAAAGGTCGACTGCTGAATATGACCCATGTTAGAACGCTCCTTCTGCAGTTAACTTTTGTGGTTATTATTTCATTCCAGCTCTTGTGATGGGGAAGCAATTGCTTCCAAGGAGAAACCCTCAGAGATTATACAAAAGGCCCGAAGAAAACTAACAGCTGTTCTTCAAAGAGATCCAGAGGCCGTCTTGAGTGCTTTAGATTCCCATCTCCTCATTACACAGAGAGAGTACTTCTTACTGAATCAAATAAATGATCCACAGAAGCTAATAGTGACATTGATTGAAACAGTGCTTCAAAAGGGAGAATTGGCCCATGAGCAATTTCTAGATTGTATGGAAAACCTGCAACACACATTTCCAGGCTTACAACCAATTTCTGAGTATTTAGAAGATGGTGAGTAAATTTTTCTTTCTAGTGGATTTTTTTTCAGATCAAAAAATATTTCCGATTATTGCTAAAGAAAGATTCTCCTCTTAAGGAAAAATATTCTAGAATTTCATACAGAACAAAAACCTTTCTATAGGCTTTTTGAACCATCCTGTATAATTTAAAAGAGAAAGTCATCTTCCAAATTGTCTTTCATATCCATCATTCCACCTACTATATCTTTGTCTAGACTTTCACAATGAAGCAGGATGGGATCAGGTTACTAGATTCATATTCACTTGTAGCCTAGGCAGAATTTGATCTCAGGAGTCCATATGCTTAAACATTGTTTTAAAAAACACTTTGCTAAATCCAGTTATATATTTCCTAATGGAAAATGTAGAAGCCCAGTTTATTTCTTCTTAAGGACTTCATTACTATATAGATTCAGAAAATAACTTTTTATAATTTCAAAGGTAACCCCTTTGGATCATTGCAGAATATATCTATAATCAAAGCAATGTGTTAGTTTGTTATAAAAGTAGTCTGTCTAGTCATCCCATGACTCTAAGAACTTTCTGGAAATTGGACTATACTATCTCTTTTTTGTCCTTGTGTTAATGCGGGCTCTCGCTAAACAATCTGGCATACATTTTGGAGGGAAGGATAATTGGTTCTAGTATCAAGAATACTGGAATATCAAGAATCCTGAAGAATCTGAATAGGATTTTATCTGATACTGTTTTTTTAATCTTTAGATCCCAGTAATGAAACTGAACATCCAGAAGCTACAGTGTTCTCAGAGAAAAGGAATGGACCAGAAGACCCAGAAATGATTGCATCATCAGTGAAAAAACATTTTCCTGAGAACCCAGAACCCAACACAGCTTCAGGGAAAGGGAATGGAGCCGAGAATCCAGAGCCTGACACATCCTCAGAGAAAGGGAATGAACTTTAGATCCCAGTAATGAAACTGAACATCCAGAAGCTACAGTGTTCTCAGAGAAAAGGAATGGACCAGAAGACCCAGAAATGATTGCATCATCAGTGAAAAAACATTTTCCTGAGAACCCAGAACCCAACACAGCTTCAGGGAAAGGGAATGGAGCCGAGAATCCAGAGCCTGACACATCCTCAGAGAAAGGGAATGAAGCTGAGAGCCCAGAACCTGACACATCCTCATTGAAAATGAATAAGCCGAGAAGCCAGAGCCTGACACATCCTCGGGGAAAGGGAATAAAGCTGAGAGCCCAGAACCTGACACATCCTCATTGAAAATGAATGGCATTGAGAGCCTAAAATCTGACTCATCCTCAGCAAAAGGGAATAAGGCCGAGAGCCCAGAGCACAACACGTCCTCAGGGAAAGGAAACGAAGCCAGGAGCACAGAGTCTGACGCTTCCTCAGAGAAAGGGAATGTGGCAGAAAGCCCAGAACCAGACACAACCTCCACAAAAAGGAATGGAATAGAGAGTCAAGAACCCAACACAACTTCAGTAAAAGAGAGCAGAGGCAAGAGCTCAGAGGCTGCTGCAAGCTTAGAGAAAGGAACTAGAGTTGAGAGCCCAGAAACTACTGCACCTTCTACAAAAGGAAATGAAGCGCAGAGCCAAGAAGCTGCTGCATTCTCTGAAAAAGGGAAGGAATCTTTGGAGAAAGAGAAAGGAGCCATGAGACAAGAAGTCCCCCCTGCTTCAAAGAAAGAGAATTCTGAAGGTTTCTTTATCCTCAGCAAATTTGGATTTAACTTTTCGTCCTTATACTCCGCCAAAACTCCCCATGAACACAATGAGGTTTAGCCAGAATAAGGCAGTTGGGGTTGGGACAAAACAATGTTTAAGAAACATTTAGGCTATCATCTACAGAGCCCTTCATGGATATAAAATCTGTATCCTCATCCACACCCGTATCTGCAAAAATTGAGCCGTAGATATCAGCATCCACATCTCTGGATGTGGATATCTGTGGCTATAAAGAGGATATCCACAAATCTGTAGGCCTCTCGTTATCTATCTTGTCTGCATTGTGTTACATTATATCTGCAGACACTACGGTGATAAACTTTCCAAAAGCATCCCCTTTAGAACTCTTTAGTCTGTGACAAATCATTCTCTTTTTTTTTACCCATTATACATACTTGTATGAGATTCAACACAAAAAAAACCACAAGTAATCCTGTAGCACCTTAGGCTATGTCTAGACTGCAGGCTTTTCGGAAAAAGCTTTTTTCAAAAGAGATCTTCCAAAAAAACTTCTTCTGAAAGAGAGCATCCACACACAAAAGCACATTGAAAAAGCTATCTGCTTTTTCAGAAGATAGCATCCACATTGAATGGACACTATCTCGCATGTATGCTGTGATTACTATGGACAGAGTGGCCACCAGGGCACCTGTGCTTTTTCCTCTTTCCTCTTCTTCCGAAGAACTCCCTCTTCCCCGTCCACGCATGCTTTTTTCCGAAAGAGCTCTTTTGCAAAAAGGCTTCTTCCTTGTAGAATGAGGATTACCAATGTTGGAAAAACTCCTCTGTTCTTTCGATTTACATTCAGAAAAACACAACCGAAGTATAGACATAATTCAAGTTTTGTCAGAAAAGCGGCCATTTTCCAGACAAAACTCTGTAGTATAGACATATCTTTAGACCAATGTTTCCCAATTGGTGCTTTGTGGAACCCCAGGGTTCCGTGAGAACGCAGCACTCCCCTGCCCCCTTTTAAAGAGACAGAGTCTATTTTGGTGCTTTTTTTTTTGCTCGTCCAATTGTGGCGGGGCTTTTGTTTGTTTGTTTGTTTGTTTGTTTGTTTAAAGATCTCTCTAACTTAAATTTTTTTACTCTGCCAACCCTTGGGGTTCCTTGAAATTCTTTTAAGCTGAAAAGGATTCCATGGCCAAATAAAATTGGGAAACACTGCCTTAGGCTGTGTCCAGACTCAGGGTTTTTTTTGAAAAAAGTAGCCTTTTTTCAAAAAAACTTCACCTGCGTCTAGACTGCAGCCGCGTTCTTTCGAAATTAAATCGAAAGAATGCAGCTTTTCTTTCGACAGCGGTAAACCTAAATCCACGAGGAAGAACACCTTTTTTCGAAAGTGCTCTTTCGAAAAAAGGCATTCTTGAAAGCAAACAGGGTCTCTCTTTTGAAAGAGGCTTTTTCGAAAGTATCTTTCGAAAAAGCCTCTTTCGAAAGAGGCTTGCAGTCTAGACATAGCCTTAGAGACTAACAAATTTTATATATATAATTATACACACACACATAGTTTCATGAGCTTTCATGGGCAAAACCCACTTCTTTAGATAATACTATATATATATATATTGTTAGTCTCTAACGTGCTATTGGACTACTTGTTTCTTTTAAAGTTACAAACTAACACAGCTACCCCTCAGAGACTTTTAAACATGTGTAAGTTTCAGTACTACAGTTTTACCAGATAGAAACTTACTAATTAAAAAGGGAAAGACAAGAAAGGAAACAAGAAACAAAAAACAAACAACAAAGGTTACATGTAGCCATATTTAAGTCTGACAAAAGAGGGAATTCCCATATCGCCTTTCCCCCTTTCTCCTAAGCTCTGATAAATACAAATCCTCTGATCATGAAGTGTTGAGGAAATTATTTCATGCCCCATGGTCCTTGATACACTGACAACTTCTGCACTCAAGACATTAATTAGTGTTTTTCTGCTACTCAGTAAATATAGAGATTTAATAATTAAACGGTGATAATATATTTTCCTTTGGATTCATTCCTAGATTCTTTAATTCTGGAACAAGATGTTGCTATTCAGCAAGACCCAGAACAGAAACAAAAAGATCTTCCCAAAGGTAACTCTCATATAATTTTTCCATGTGCAAATGTCATTAGTATTGCATCTCATTAATTAAAATAATATTAGATTGATGATGTTTTGAATATTTTAGCTAATATAATCCATACACCAAAACTAGGTATTAATCCTTAGAAATTTAGAACATTTCCATTTAAAAACCCAGGTTTAAGGAGGTAGCAGATCCAGGACTCCTCAGATACAGGTAGGCTGTAACAGGTAGGCTGTGTCTACACTGGGCCACTTATTCCGGAAAATCAGCTGCTTTTCCGGAATAAGCTGCGAGCTGTCTACACTGGCCCTTGAATTTCCGGAAAAGCAATGATGCTCTACTGTACAAAATCAGCCGCTATTCCGGAAAAACTATTCTGCTCCCGCTCGGGCATAAGTCCTTATTCCGGAACACTGTTCCGGAAAAGGGCCAGTGTAGACAGCCCAGTAGTCTTTTCCGGAAAAAAGCCCCGATCGCGAAAATGGCGATCGGGGCTCTTTTCCGGAAAAGCGCGTCTACATTGGCCACAGACGCTTTTCCGGAAAAAGGGCTTTTCCGGAAAAGCAGCCTGCTAATGTAGACGCTCCTTTTCTGGAAAAACTGAAAACGGAATAGTATTCCGTTTTAAGCATTTCCGGAAATTCATGCCAGTGTAGACACAGGCGTATTGTATTAATCTCTATATAGGATAGATAATGTTAGTAACTCACTGTACATACTAGGGGTGTTAGAGTTTAACCAATTAACCCTTTAACTGATAAGCTGATACTTACCAGTTAATGGTGCTAGTTAAACTCAGCCAGATCGCTGTAGCTTCCTCTCGGGAACCAGGTGGGCAAGCGCTGCCCACTGTGCTTCCAGGAAGGTGGTTTCGCTGCCGTAGCAAAATCTCCTCCCTGAGACCCAGGCCAACTGGGGCTGGCAGCCCCATTCCCAGGGAGCTTTTGCTGTGGACTGTGCAGCATAAAGCTCATCTTAATACTGCAGAGCCTGCAGCTCATGGAACTGCACAACCACAAAGATTTTTAGCTGATACTCAGTTACCATATTAAATGACGTTAACGTCCCTAGTGCAAGTTACCAGACTAAAAGGCACAAAGGCAGATGCATATAGCAATGAGCTGTGAGAAGGCCTAGTTTGTCAGTGGTATTATGACCCTGACTCTCCACAGAGGAGTGCACGCTGTATCATGGAAGTCATGGATTTGCCTTTGGGCGAGGATGCAATTGTCTCTATGTCCCTAGAAGTCATTTGTATGGAAGAGGAAAAGCTGGTAACATGGGCAAGATTGAAAAAAATCCTACACAAATCCTACACTAGTTCCTTTCATTGACTGTTAACAGGAACCCACCATTGGAGGGAAGATTGAGACTACAGAGTAATCTGAATAATCATTATTGAAGTGCATGAGAAGTGTAGCACCTGGATATTTCTGTCACTTCTCTGTACAGCCATCCTCTAACGACAGCTTTGCATGACTAGCCTAGTGACATAATCAACAACTGCCAAACACAATCACAACGACCTTGATTCTCTGCTATATCACACTGCAGCCGCCAGAGCAGGGAGCTTGTTACATTTCCCTCATCCTCAACATCACAGACTCTGTGGAAGGTAGAGCAGCCTGAGGCCACCTCTAGTTTATGCCACTGATGCAAGACCCGCTCCATTCCAGAATGCCACTTATGTCTCCTTGTGCTAGGGATTTATTTGGGGGGCCTAGATGCAACTTCTGCCAATTTTCCATGATTGCAGAGTTCCCTTCCCTGGGGCATGTGGAGAATTTCCCCTGAGGAAAGGAACTCTCTACATGTTGTACTACTTAGGTAAAAGAAAATGGCCCAAGACAACTCCCTTGCAGATAAGACAATCTGGCCTAATATTTTCAGTTCTGAAATGTATGTTTATATTCTAACACCTTTCTACAGAGAGAAGAAAAGCAGTCAGTGAAGTTCTCGCCAAGTTAAAATTACAGAAGTATGAAAGCAGAAAGCTCAGGTTGAATGATGTCCTAGAAATCGACTCAAGAAGTTTAATGGACAAGTCTCCTCAGAAATTAAGAGATTTGCCCTGGCATTTCCTGAGAAAGGTCATGGCTTTGAATGTGACAGCCAGAAACACAAGCCTTAGGTGTGGGGCAACAGTTGGTCAAAGATCTAAGGTGGATAAAGAGGAACAAGGTATTGGTGAACAAATTTTCTTTATTAGTGACACTGACACTAAAGTCTCTATGAATCCCCTGGACATTCTCTGCGCCGTGCTGCTTTGCTCTGACAGTTTCCTACAGCAGGAGATCCTGTCCAAAATGTCTATGTGCCAGTTTGCCCTTCCTCTGTTGCTGCCCGCCCTCAACACCCCCAGGTGCACCCTTCTGCTGTGGGCCATGAGGGACATTGTGAGGAAGTGGAGGCCGCACTCCCTGGCACAGAGCCGAGGGTTCAAGGAGGAAAGCCTGGTGCTCACACAAATGCCAACCATCTCCTTTGTGCGTTTGGGCAGCTGCAGCTTCTCCAAGTCCCAGCTCCTCAACGAGATTCTCAGCCCCTCCCAGCAGCACCACGACTTCTTTGTGCATCAAGATTTGTCATCTGGGAATGTCCCTAGAGACATCGCAGATGGCTTTGTAGAAATTTCCTGGTTTTTCCCTGGGGGGAGGAAGAATTTAGATCTTTTCCCAGAACCTGTGGCAGTTACAAATCTACGTGGAGACATTGAGTCTCACTGGCTCCAGTTCAGCTTTTTAACAGAGGTCTCCTCAGCAGTGTTTATATTTGCTGAAAACATCACTGAACGAGAGTACACTCTATTATCCTCTTTGAAAGAATCCACAACTAAATACTACTTCATTCTCAACCGCCAGGCTGGGAAACCCAGCGAAACCCTGGCATTCCTTAACAAATTAGCCCCTTTGCTGAAACTGAAAAATTCACATATGTTGATGAAAGATAGCAGGACAAATAAAGCAAAATTTGTGGAAAAGCTGCAGTCCACCATACAAAGCATAATGAACTCTTCTCCCAAGAAAAAAGGTATAGAAGACATGGCTGTGATAGCACGTGAACTAGGAATCCAAATAGATGAAGATCATGTGGAATGTCAAACTACAAGGAACTATGTTAAAGAGATCACCTCAGAAATAAAGGATGTGGTATATTACAAACAAGACATGCTAAAGCTCCAAGGAGATTTATGGAAAAACCTGGCTAAAGTGGAAAAAGAACTGTGCCGAATGAGAAGGCAGGGAGATATCCCTGCTGAGAAATATAAATCTCAGCTGAAAGATAAAATGTTGGAATTACGTAATCAACAGAATAAATGTGATCTGACTGATGGCTTGATTAAGTTTATTAATTCAATACGACATCTACTTCCATTAGAAAAGCACTATTTCCTGAAATGGATGAAATTTCAGCTGGATCACATTGCTAGGAGGAATCTTTCTAAACTTCGGGCTGAATACAAAGAGAAATGCAAGTCTGTAGGAGATGATACCAAAAAGTTGGCAGAACTAGATAAACTAATATCTTCCACTTCTTTAGGGGTGGAGCATTTCATGCGTGAGTTGGGGCAGTTCTATGAGGCTGAATGCTCGATGGTTAAAGAAGGCAAAATTCTAAAAAGTGGAAGACAATTCACACACCTCCCAGGCATTGCAGCTGACCTGATGCTGGAAGGGTTTCCTATTGAGCTGATCGATGGAGATGCCTCCAACATCCCACTGCAGTGGGTGACAGATATTCTGAGTCAGCTCCATGCCAAGCTGAGGGGAAGGTCCAAGATGCTGGTGCTAACTGTGCTGGGAGTGCAAAGCACGGGGAAATCCACCCTCCTCAACACCATGTTCGGCCTGCAGTTTGCAGTGAGCAGTGGCCGATGTACACGAGGAGCCTTCATGTTGCTCATTCAAGTTAGAGAGATGTTAAAAAAAGAACTGGGCTGTGATTTTCTCCTGGTGATAGACACCGAAGGCTTGAAAGCCCCTGAACTGGCCAAGCTGGAGGACAGTTACCAACACGACAATGAGCTGGCCACACTGGTGATTGGACTGAGTGACATCACCATTGTTAACATGGCCATGGAGAACGCCACTGAAATGAAAGATATTCTGCAAATTGTGGTCCATGCATTTCTCAGAATGGAAAAAATAGGGCATAAACCCAACTGCCAGTTTGTGCATCAGAACGTCAGTGATGTGTCTGCGCATGAGCAAAACATGAGGGACCGGAAACACCTCCTGGAGCAGCTGAACGAAATGATCAAAGCTGCAGCAAAGATGGAAAAACTAAATAAGGAAATAAAATTTTCTGATATCATGGAGTATGATCTGGAAAAACACAATTGGTACATCCCTGGACTCTGGCATGGAGTCCCTCCGATGGCTCCAGTAAATATGGGATATAGTGAAAAAGTGTATGAGTTAAAGAAGTACCTGTTTGAGTTCATAAAGAACCGTGCACTTAAAAGAACCCCCAAGGACATTCCCCAATTTATTGAATGGATGAAGAGTTTGTGGAATGCTGTCAAACATGAAAACTTCATCTTCAGCTTTAGAAACAGCCTGGTCGCTGAAGCCTACAACCTGCTGTCTGTGAAGTATGCGGAGTGGGAATGGGACTTGCGCAAAGAAATGCATCTCTGGGTAACTGAAAAAGAAACTGCTATTCAGAATCTTTGTCCTGAGGAACTAGAAGCTGATAAGTCACAATTTGAAATGCAACAGAAACTACTGTGTGGAGAAGAGAGAATTCTGGAGTTTTTAAAACAATATTTTGAAAGTGGGGCAGCAAATCTGCATCTGATAGAAAAGTACAAGGAAGATTTTATCAGAAGTGCAAAGAGCCTGAAGAATGAACTGGAAAGTTACTCGCTGAAGAAATGTAAGGAAGCCATTCACATTAAAAAAGGCCAGCACAAGATAGCCAGTATTCAGGCTAAGTACATGAAAGTCATTGAAGGGAAAGTGGACATGCTTTTGGAAGAATGCAGGAGAAAAGAAAGTAAACTGGAAAGTAATGAATTGGAAATGGAATTTGAAAAAATGTGGAAAGAAACAGTTTCAGAATTATCACCTATTTGTTTACAGAAGCGTAAAATTCATGAAGAAATTGAGTTCTATCTGAGAAAAAACCTAGAAAACAGAGGGAGTTCAGTTAATCAGAAGATACAGGAAGCAAAAAGTTTAATGAATTATAGAATTAACTCTTTTGAAATGAAAACTGAATATTTAGACTTTTCATTAACCACAACTGTGAAACACTGGTTTACAAAAAAACGGTCACAAAAAACAGAAAAAATTGCTGAATCCTTGCTGGACAAATGTAATAGTTACATTGAAGAAAGGGTCTATTCCAAGGCAGACTATGATGAAACATTTTGCAGAGAATTGTTGCATATGATCAATGAGCAACTTCAACAAGAGGAAGTGAAAAAACTTCAGACTTCAGTTTGCTTTGAAGTTGATCTGAAGCTTCACATTTTGGGGGAAGCTGCTCATGCATTTCAGAAGATGCATGAAGATTTTCTCAAGGAAAATGATCCTCAGCAACGGCTGGAGAAACTGAAACCTCAATATTTATCTATATTTAAAGACCATTACTTGGAAAAAGATGCCAGACAAAACAGAGCTAAGGATTTCTGTGATCAGTGTCTCAAACCTGCCTTAGTGGACTATGTTAGCAAAAGACTCGGGCTAGAAATAGTGAATGACATTCTCAGCAGTGGTCAGTCTATCGAATATGCCAGCCGGACCTTTTTCCAGTTCACTGTGCAGAAGAAGCTGTTAGAAGATGGGAATTTCAACAACTATGTGAAATACATTATCAGTTATGAAAAGTTTGTCAAAGCTTGGATATGGAGGCACATATTAGATTACTACCAAGAAGCTGAGGATTTGGAAGATCTGGAGGAAGAAATTCTATCCACGATACTAAAGAAAGTCAGGGATGCTCTTGAGAATGCCAAAGATGAAAGTGTTAAGACAGTCTCAGTCTTTCTGAACAACTTTTGTAAAACACTGCAGAAAGACCTAGTGATTTCCAAGGACAGTTTAGTGGGGATACAGTTTAAAAATACAGCAGATCCAGCTCAATTTTCTACTTTTATTCAAACCTTCCTTCCTGGTCTTCAGCAACAGATACTGGCTGAATTGAAGGCTTTGGAAATTAACTCAAAGCTCTGCCATCTGCCATTGAAACCCCAGGATGAAATCTTCAAGCGAGTGTTTGGCTGTGGGAAGCAGTGTCCATTCTGTAAAGTCCCCTGCGAGGCAGGAGGAGGGGCTCATAAAGAGCATTTTGCATCAGTGCATCGTCCCCAAGGACTAGGGAGATACCAAAATCTGGTAACAGAAAAGCTTACCTATTCTCTATGTTCCTCTGATGTAGTTTCCAACACTAAATTTCGGAATTCAGACACAGATTGGAAAGATCATCCTTATAAAGATTATCGTCAATATTACCCAGAGTGGCGTATTCAGCCAGATCCCAGCATCACTGCTTCCGATTACTGGAAATTTGTCTTTAAGGAGTTCAATCAACAGTTTGCTAAGCAGTATGATGCTAAACCAGCTGATCTCCCAGCCGATTGGCAAAAAATAACCAAAGAACAGGCTCTGGAGAGCCTAAAGGAAGCATTTACTATAAAATAAACACAGACAGTTTGCTTAAATGGGATATAGATCTGATCAGGTAGGAAAATTAACAATTTTTTTATTTAAAAAACAGACATGAAAAAAATCTAACTTCAAACAAATTTGTCATTTCATCTGTGAAGCTATCAGAATGAAAATCTATTGTTTGATATGTGAAAGAATTCAGTATTTGGTTTCTGATTGCTAAAACCACAGTTGCATTTCACCAGAGCAATGGTGACAGCCAATAACCAATTAATTCACTCCCAAAACAGCTCAACTCTCCAATTAATTCAAATATTAATACCCTGACCCAGGCAACTCATCTCAGTGTAGCATACACAATTTCATGTTAGAGTGTTTCACCCAACAAAATCTGCTTTATTAGAAAACCTGAGCAGAGTCATTCCAGATAAAGGATTATCACCAGAGCAATGGTGACAGCCAATAACCAATTAATTCACTCCCAAAACAGCTCAACTCTCCAATTAATTCAAATATTAATACCCTGACCCAGGCAACTCATCTCAGTGTAGCATACACAATTTCATGTTAGAGTGTTTCACCCAACAAAATCTGCTTTATTAGAAAACCTGAGCAGAGTCATTCCAGATAAAGGATTATCTGCCTTTCTGGCCCAGTTATAACGGGGACAGTGCACCATGATCATAAATCAGCAAATCCTATGCCATTGATCTTTCCCCTTCAACTGTGCTGACTCTGCCCTCCATCTGCAGTCAGTCTCCTTAACTCTGCTCTATTTTGCTTATGCCATCTACTCACTTTCCTCATTATGTTCCTGATGACAAGACTCTTCAAAATAACTGATAGAATATGCCATCTAGACCGCAACTTGTATAGAAGCTCAGGCTTCCAGTGCAGAAAGTGATGTGATTAAAAGAATTAGGATCCTAAAAGAAGTCCAACAAGAAGGGGCTCTTGGCACAGACCAGCACCTCATTCATTCTTATCCATCAGGGAATAAATGGTCTTGATGGCTACAGACTAGGTCAGGTGGATTCTGTTCCTAGTTCTAAGATGGGAGTGGGGGCTAGTGGGCCAGACATGCAGGGAATGTGATTCCTGGGCTCCATTTCTAGCTCTGCCACTGACCTGCTGTGTTACTTTGGGTAATTTCTCTTAACCTCCCTATGCTTCAGTCCGTCATGTGTTAAATAGGGAATAATGACTCTGACCCACCTCTCAGTAGTTTATACTGCCTAGTTCAATAATGTTCATAAAAATAAAGCTCAGACATACTCTGATGGAAAATGTTAAAGAAGGGCAAGCTCTTGTGATTATTCATTTTGTAAGAAGTGTGTAGGGGCAGGTGGGAAATGTTGAAAGCTTGTTACTACAAATATGAAGGGGTTTATTATTCTTGTAATGAATTCCGATTGATTAATCCAGGGGCCAGAGTGCTCTGAATACAGTAAGGAGCAGTTACTAATTTCTACTAGCAAACTAGCTTTGTATACTTCTTTACTGCTGCTGAAAATTCATCATTGTATAAGGGCAAAAAATACAAAAATCAAAATAAAACGGATGCAATTCTTTGCTTTATTCTCAATGGAGGTTGATTCAATAAAAATATTCATTTGTGACTTTTTGCAGCAAAATTTTCCCAGGAGGAACAGTTCATGCAACTAATTTCTACTAGCAAACTAGCTTTGTATACTTCTTTACTGCTGCTGAAAATTCATCATTGTATAAGGGCAAAAAATACAAAAATCAAAATAAAACGGATGCAATTCTTTGCTTTATTCTCAATGGAGGTTGATTCAATAAAAATATTCATTTGTGACTTTTTGCAGCAAAATTTTCCCAGGAGGAACAGTTCATGCAAGTGGGGAAGAAGTTAAAGTGAAACAAGTGTTTCCCACACCAATAGGATGTTGACTCTTCATCTTTAGTTATCCTGGATTCAAGCATTCTCACCTAATTCAATAGCAACAAGGAGTCCTGTGGCACCTTATAGACTAACAGATGTATTGGAGCATAAGCAAAGACCCACTTCGTCAGATGCATGTAGTAGAAATTTCCAGAGGCAGGTATAAATATGCAGGCTAGAGATAACAAGATTAATTCAGTCAGGGAGGATGAGGCCCACTTCTAGCAGCTGATGTGGAGGTGGGAACACCAAGAGAGGACAAACTGCTTTTGTACGTGGCTAGCCATTCACAGTCTTTGTTTAATCCTAAACTGATGGTGTCAAATCCTAAACTGAGGTTTAAAGGCACTACAATGTGTCAGAATGGAGAGAACCTGGTGCATTCACCATCCGGAATGAGAATATGGATTAAAAATTCCAAAGATGGTGTCAGCTTTCTGAAAATAAATGAGCCCCTTTTCAATACATGAAGTAGTGGTGCAGGGTTTTATTGGATTAAAGTCCATTTTTCCAATCCATATTCCCTTAACTTGCTGGTAAGAATATTGTGGGTGGCCGTATCAAAAGCTTTACTAAAGCTGGCTCTGGGGGGACCAAAACCACCGTATTTGCATATTCGTAATTTGCTTGATGAATATGCAACTATGCAAATGAATGTTACAGGTCCTCCGAAAGCTCATGAATGGATTTACTGGTCCCCGTGTCAAAAAGTTTGGAAACCCCTGCCCTACGTAAAAGAATAAATGGACACAAACCAGATATTAGGAATGGCAATATACAAAAACCTGTAGGAGAACACTGCAATCTCCCTGGACACACAGTAGCAGATTTAAAGGTAGCCATCCTGCAACAAAAAAACTTCAAGACCAGACTTTAAAGAGAAACTGTTGAGCTACAGTTCATCTGCAAATTTGACACCATGGCTACATCTACACTGGCATGATTTTCCGAAAATGCTTTTAATGGAAAAGTTTTCCGTTAAAAGCATTTTCAGAAAAATCACGTCTAGATTGGCAGGACGCTTTTCCACAAAAGCACTTTTTGCGGAAAAACATCTGTGGCCAATCTAGACGCAGTTTTCCGCAAAAAAGCCCCGATCGCCATTTTTGCGATCG